AGTCTTCCTTTTTTTAGCCAGTCGAATTTAGCAGTAGGGGGTTGAACATCAACTTTGGTGACACTAATCTTAATAAGCTTTGATAACCCACTACCACCAGACCAGCCAATCGTATTCCTTTTTTAAGGAAGGCATTCTCTATGATTTAAAAAAATTAAGGGCCAGGCACAGTGGCTCACGCCTATAATCCCACCATTCTGGGAGGCCAAGGTGGGTGGATCGCCTGAGCTCACAGGTTGGAGATCAGCTTGAGCCAGAGTGAGACCCTGTGGGTGTTGTGGTAGGCGCCTGTAGGCTCAGCAAGTTGGGAGGCTGAGGCAAGAGAATCACTTGAGCTCAAGAGTCTGAGGTTGTTGTGAGCTATGACACCATGGCACTCTACCAAGGGCGACAAAATGAAACTCAGTCTCAAAATAAAAAAAAATATGGTAAGGTATATATAACATAAAATTTACCATTTTAACTTTTTTTTTTTTTTTTGAGAAAGGGTCTTGTTCTGTCAGCTGGGCTAGAGGACAGTGGTGTCATCATAGATCATTACACAACCTCCAACTCCTGAGCTCAAGGGATCCTCTTCCCTCAGATTCCAGAATAGCTGGGACAATAAGCACCTGCCACAATGCCCAGATAATTTTTCTGTTTTTAGTAGAGACAGGATCTTGCTCTTGCTCAGGCTGGTCTGAAACTCCTGAGCTCAAGTGATCCTACCGCCTGGGCTCCCAGAGTGCTAGGATTAGAAGCATGAGCTACCATCCCTGACCTGTCTTTTCTATTTTCAAAGCTTTTTTTTTTCTTTCCAATCATTTTTTTTTGATTTTTTCTAATTCAAATTTATATTTTTAAGCAATTCTCAAATTTCTTGGTGACAAAATCTCTTTACACTTTTAAAAATTGTTGAGGGCCTCAAAGAGCTTTTGTTAATGTGGACAATAATACTAATATTTACCATATAGAAATTCAAACTAAGAAAAATTTTAAATCTTTATTAATATATTTATAGATTATTGTGATTATATGTTAACATAAAAAGTATTTTATGAAAAATCACTATATTTCCAAAAAAATAAATATCATTTATTTATATTCCTGCCAGTCTCTTTAATGTCTGGTTTGAAAGAAGACATCTGAATTTTCATATCTGCTTCTTTATTAAATCTGTTATGATATGTTGTTTTACTTGAAATATATAAATAACATCTGGTCTCATGCAGATATGTAGCTGAAAAAGGGAGGAATATTTGAATAGCCTTTCAGAGAATTGTGGATACTCTCCTTTGATAAGACATAAAATCTGGGCAAGTAGTAGTTTCTTAAAATTCAGTTGTATGTGGACTCTGAAATCACATCAATGAGCTTTTTGTACTCTGTTACAATGAAATTCATTGATATATCTTGCATTTGACTGGACCTTTTACCAATGCACGATTTTGTAACATCATACATCAGTCATTTGGAAAATATTGACTCATTAAGTTATGTATATCTTCCAAACATCGACAAAACTCTTTATATAATGTTTAACAAAAAAAATTTTTTTTTGAGACAGAGCCTCAAGCTGTCCCACTGGGTAGAGTGCTGTGGCATCACACTCACAGCAACCTCCAACTCCTGGGCTCAAGCGAGTCTCCTGCCTCAGCCTCCCAAGTAGCTGGGACCACATTCGCCCGCCACAATGCCCAGCTATCTTTTTGGTTGCAGCTGTCATTGTTGTTTGGCGGGCCCAGGATGGATTTGAACCCGCCACCTTAGGTGTATGTGGCTGGCGCCTTAGCCACTTGAGCCACAGGCACCGAGCCCAAAATCATGTTTTTTAATATCACTACCAATGTCTTTTGAAAAATGTATAAGTGTTAGGAACTTGTCAAGTTTTTGTAGGCAAATAGAAGTTTTTCAAAATTCTAATTTCTGTTTGGAAGCCAAAATGTTGTAATTGATAACATCTCAATTTATGAGTTGTTTTTCTGCAGTAACAGGCTCACTTATTTTCAAGAAAATGTCTGTCAAATATTTGAGTCTAAATAACCTTGATTGGTCAGGGCTTTGTTTCCCTCCATGTAAAAATGGTGTATTCCATGAAAAAGTGGCTAGTACAGCTGGAAACTCAATCACAAGTGTTTTCCCACAAGGCATCCACTATGCCTCAGTATGCAGCAGAAGTACTTTCTGCATATTTTCCATTTAGTCGCACAATCTTAAAAAGACATGTAGTCAAAGGTGAAAATTTGATAAAAGCGAATCATTGTTACTGCTTTATCAAGGGCGCGTTTAAGTAAAACTGGCTTAAAAAAACTCTGTTGGGCGGCACCTGTAGCTTAGTGAGTAGGATGCCGGCCCGATATACCGAGGGTGGCAGGTTAAAACCTGGCCTTGGCCAAACTGCAACAACAACAAAAAAAGAAAATTAAAAAAAAAAAAAAAACTCTGCAAATGTATAGTGGTGAAGAATGCAATGATTACCAGTGAAATTTGATGCCATTGCCAGATTTATCCTTAAGGCACCAGGAGTTTTTGCTTTTGCACAGTAAGAGTAAATGTCAACACATTAAAAAAGGTCATTAATGTCTCTACCGACGGTGACAAAATGAGACTTTGTCTCTAAAAAAAAAAACAAACCAGTTTTAACTTTGTGGACCTGGTATGTGTCTCAGGGATGTCCAGGGGTCTAGGGATCACACTTTGAGAACTGCTACATTGCTATCTCTTTTAGCTTGTTTTGAAATACTAAGTTACAGTTTTCATTTGTTTTGTGGAAGTATATTTCTGGAGTGCTTTCACTTTTAGGAGTATTATTCTCCCTTTTCTTATTTTCTTATAATAACCTCGATGTATGTTTTGACTGTAATCCTTTTTTGTGGCTTTTAAAGTACAGTGAGTTTTCCTATACTCTTAGGTAGAAAGGTGGGCCAGAATAGCTTTTCTAGTCTCAAGATTTTGGAGCTCCTTCTTCTGTTGTGTTCACAAAACACTGTAAAGCATGACATGCTTCCTGAGACCGGCCATCTGTTTCCCTCCCCAACCTGCATCTGGACCTTCTTTTTCCCTTGGTGCTATTATCCCTGCTCCGTTCACTGTAGATTCTATTCCCCCTAGTTTATCCCTGGTGTGGGTCTTGTCCTGAAATGGATCTTTAGTTTATGACTTTTTAGCATTGATGAGGCCCAGATTGCCCTAATACCTTAAGACTTTATTTTATTGCAGTCCTCTGGTGCTCCTTTGCAAGTTGGATCCTTAAGGCCCTCCAGTGGGTTCCTCTGGCAATTTTGAGATCCTCCTCTTTTTAGTGCTATTAGAAGTTTAGATGACTTTCCTCTACTTCTCCCCTTATAGGCAGAGAAACACAACATTCTTCAAAATGTAGTTACACATACCAAAAAAATCATATTTTTCCCTGATTGTCTCAGACTTCTTTCCATAGGTACCTCTACAAGTCTACTTTATTTTTTTAATGACTCCATAACAGTAAATAACACTTAACATGGCATTCACCTTGTGCCAGGCACTGTTCTCAGTTTTGTATATATGTTAATTCCTTCCTTACATTGTCTCATGAGCTAAGTACTGTTATTATCTGCATTTTACAGACGAGGAATCTAATGTACAGAGAATAAGTGACTTGTACAAGATTGCATATCTAGTAAATTGTTCCTTGTATCAATGTACATTTATTTAGGCTGTCTAGTTCTAACTTTCTTCTGATGAACCTCTAATAGTTTTATTTTTTTTCTTTATTTAAAAAATTATTTTGTATTTTTACCTTGCAGTTTCAGCTCAAAAGGTAATTTTTTAAAAATATCTTAAAGCCTTTTTTTTTTTTTGAGACAGAGCCTCAAGCTGTCCCCCTGGGTAGAGTGCCATGGCCTCACAGCTCACAGCAACCTCCAACTCCTGGGCTCAAGCGAGTTTCTTGCCTCCACCTCCCAAGTAGCTGGGACCTCAGGCGCCCGCCACAACGCCCAGCTATTTTTTTGGTTGCAGCCATTATTGTTGTTTGGTGGCCCAGGCTGGATTCGAACCCACCACCTTAGGTGTATGTGGCTGGCACCTTAGCCACTTGAGCTACAGGCGCCGAGCCTTAAAGCCTTTTTGAAACTGACATCCTTGTGCTATATATTATATATCCTGGAAAAAATTGGTGAATATTATCTATGGGGCTAAATCTCTTTACTTTTCTTTTTTGCTTAAGATTGGGTCTTGCTCTGCTACCCAGGCTGGAATGTAGTGGTGTGATCATAGCTCACAGCAACCTTGAATTTCTACCTCAGCCTGAGAGAGAGAGAGAGAGAGAGAGAGAAAAGAAAGAGAAAATATTTTTTTTGTAGAGACAAGGTTTTGCTATGCTGCCCAGGTTGATCTTGCACTCCTGACTTCACGTGATCCTTCTTTTTTTTTTTTTTTTTTTTTGAGACAGGGTCTCTCTTTGTCACCCTCGGTAGAGTGCTATGTTGTCATAGCTTGCAGCAACTTCAAACTCTTAGGCTCAAGTGATTCTCTTGCCTCAGCCTCCTTAGTAGCTAGGACTACAGGAGCCCACCACAATTCCCAGCTGTTTTTAGAGATGAAGTCTTGCTCTGGCTCAGGCTGGTCTTGAACCTGTGAGCTCAGGCAATCCACCTGCCTCGGCCTCCCAAGGGCTAGGATTATAGGCGTGACCCACCGCACCAGGCCCTGAACCTCCCTTCCCTTCTTAGCCTCCCAAAGTTCTGAGAATACAGGTCCAAACCCCCATACCAAGCCTAAATTTCTTTTTAAATTTTGTTTTGAGACCTTTTGGAGACTTTTACTACATTCTTCAGGGTAATTAGAAAAACCCAAGAGCTCTGTAAAAGTAAGGTTTGGTGTCACTGTCTTAGAACATGATGCTGCTTTTAGAAAGAATCTCATGAGTCTTGCATGTAGACCTTTCACAGTTGGGATATGGGAGGAAGGAAGGCCTACTTTCACTCACTATGCTGTTTTTCCCAGCAGAGATCATAATATAACTACTGATGATCTCTTTACAGAACTGGTGGAGTCTCTTTCATTGCAGGGATCTTATGCTGGAAAAATCCATTCCATTGGTGATGCCTTCAAAAATTTTAAAAATCTCCGATCCTTAGATTTATCAAGGAATTTGATCACTAGCCTAAAGGTAAGTTCTATATTCTGTGACCAGCCGGGTCCGCCAAATTTATTTTGGGGGAAAGAAATAAGAGTAGATAATGTTAGCCTAGGGCAGCAGTTCTCAACCTGTGGGTCGCGACCCCTTTGTAACAATGAAAATACATTGAGGCATTAGGAAGGTTGACAACCACTGGTCTAGGGAATATAGGGTTTTCCTTTAAAATGCTTCCCAACTAAATTGCATTATTCACTATAAAATTCTTTCAACTCTGCACTATGTTTAAAATTATTTATTACAATATATGAAGGAAAATTCCTTTTATAATCAGGGAAAACCATATTAAGTTATCACTGTACACAACAATAGCATACATTTCATATGCATAAAATAGTATGAGGAACACTTGTAAGAGTACAGATTCTTAGTCCCTATTCTCAGAGCAGATCCAAATTGAGTAGGTTCAAGGTGAGTTCATGATATACTCGGGGAGTTCTGATGATGGTGGTACTTGGAGCACACGTGGAGAAACATTAGCCTGTGTTGTTATGATGAGTTTACTCCCAGGAGGAGGAGGAAAGGGTGGTGTTGGTAAAAAAGAATAATTTTCAGGTCAGGGAATGGCAAAGCAGAGGGCAGAACAGGAAAGCAGGAGGGAGCAGACGTGAACTGAGTGCATGTGACTTAGCAAACACATACAAAGGGCTCTGCAAACCTAAATGGGCACAACCAAAGGGAGTTTTGTTTTCTTTGTGGTAGACCCCCAAATGGTGCTTCTTCCACACGTTCCCATTTTGCCCTACCTATATACCTATCTAGGCAAGACTGAAGGTGCCAAAGACTTAACAGGTGGTATTCAGGATTAGTTAACAATCTCCCAGATTATTGGCGCCCTACCCTTTTGAGCCACAGGCACCGCCCTAGTTTTGCACTTCTTAAGAGATACTTGTCCAACAACGCCATCCTGACCCAATTTCTAGGGTTAGCTAAGAGCCCTAAAAGAGGAAGCCTAAGCAAGATCAAATTTCCAACTAGGACTCTAAAACCAGCAACTCCAGGTCAGCACAGTGGCTCACGCCTATGATTTCAGCACTCTGGGAGGCCCAGGTGTGCAGATTGCTTGAGCTCAGGACTTTAAAACCAGCCTGACCAAGAGTGAGATCCTATCTCTCTAAAAATAGAAAAACTACTTGGTGGCTCACACCTGTAATCCTAGCACTCTGGGAGGCCAGGGCAGATTGATTGCTTAAGCTCAGGAGTTTAAGACCAGCTTGAGCAAGAGGGAGACCCCATCTCTAAAAATAGCTGGGGTGGCTCGGCACCTGTGGCTCAAGTGGCTAAGGCACCAGCCACGTACACCTAAGGTGGTGGGGTTCAAATCCAGCCCGGGCCCACCAAACAACAAAGATGGCTGCAACCAAAAAATAGCCAGGCGTTTTGGCGGGTGCCTGTGGTCCCAGCTACTTGGGAGGCTGAGGCAGGAGACTCACT